TCCCAGTTGAATATCAGAGTATGCAACGAACAAGACTAACAAATAATAAGAATATTATTAAACAAACTGAGAATGCCGAAACGGCTACAAAACTCTAAGAGACTACATTGTGGCTAACTTTTTCTCTAATGAATAACAAAGCACCCCATTTATAATAAACTAACCATAATCTCTAACAAAACCTAATTCTAACCGGCTAAGCCCATAAAACCAAACATTCAAATAAACCAAAATACTAATATTTTCCAACACCCCCCGTCAAACTCATGGCGGTACATGACATGGGTTTGTCAAAGTAGATGTGGATGTAAAACTCCAAATTCCTGTGCCAATGCCGATGCCAATACCAATGCCGATGTCGATGCCGATACCGATGCCAATACCGATGCCAACTTCTGAACAAACAAACAAAAAATCCAACCAAATTTTTTTTTTCCTTTGTAGCAATACAGACTTGCGGATACTCCTGCAGGCTGCAGTGTTCAAAGGTGCAGAAGCAGAGTCACGGGACAAAAAACGAACGAACAATTTTTTTCTTCTTGCAAACAATCAATACCAACTAATAATCTGAACATGAACGACAACGGAAACGAGCAAACAGATACCAACCCGAAGCAGATTAAATCCCGAAGGATCAAACCTGCTCTGATACCAAGTTGAATATCAGAGTATGCAACGAACAAGACTAACAAATAATAAGAATATTATTAAACAAACTGAGAATGCCGAAACGGCTACAAAACTCTAAGAGACTACATTGTGGCTAACTTGTTCTCTAATGAATAACAAAGCACCCCATTTATAATAAACTAACCATAATCTCTAACAAAACCTAATTCTAACCGGCTAAGCCCATAAAACCAAACATTCAAATAAACCAAAATACTAATATTTTCCAACACTCCCTCCGCGGAAAAATAAATTAGGGTTCTTCTTCGATTATCTCAGGTATCGAACCTCTTTTTCTCTTTTGCCTTATGTTTTCTTCTTACAGCTTTAGTTCCTCAACTTCTCCTTACAAGAACTAAAAAAGTTTGTTCCTGTATTGCACTTTTTTCAATAAGTTTTATTCTTAGTTGCTTAAATTGATCTTTTGATTTAGAAGCAGCGGAAGAAATTAATTTTTATTGTCGTCCATTAGGCTTTCCAGTCAAGACAAAATGATAACGAGGATGCACTCCAGTCGAGACAAAAGGATAACGAGGATGAGGCTCTTCCAAAACCAATTTCATCAATACAAAAGGAAAAAGAAAAACAAAGGGATGAGAAGAGGCTGTTACTTTTGACAAATCTGGGAATTATTAAATTGTAATTTCATTTTATGGTTCCATTAATTTTGTTAGAATTGTGATTTGCAAGTTACAAAGAGAATTTCATTTACTTTGTTTTCTCGATGAAGATTTAGGGTAAAGGTATGGGTTTTATGGGTTTTAATGAACCAAACATGAATAGAGATGTTATATTATCTATATCATAATATGAGTTTAGAAGATAATTGCAATTAAACTCATCTGACTTATTTGTGTTTCATGATGAGGATGTGAAGGTTTTTGGCAGGGGATGGAAGTATGGTCAGGTATGATTTTTTTTTTCCGGTCAGGTATGATTTAACTTTATCAATATTTCATGCTATTTAGTTCTGTGAAATATATTTTCTTCAGTGTTGTTTTTTAGCATCTCAATGTGAGTGTCTTTTTTCATTTTTTTTCAATAACATATTGAACAATGTTTTGTTTCAACAAATGATTTAAGCCCTTAATGTGTTAGGCATCATATCATGTTCCAAAGAACTTAAATGGCAGGTTAAAATATATTGTAGCTTATCAACAAATTCGCTACCATTAGTGAACAACGAAAAAAGAGTGAAAGATTGTGTACATTTGAGAACTCCTTTTTAATACAACTTCATTAAATTTCTCTAAACCATGGGGAGATGTTGGACAGAATGAATCTTATGGTGTTAAAGGTTGACAATAGTAGGCTCATGCAGATGGATTTTTAGAAAAAAGAAAAAGAAGAAGAAAAAAAGGGGTATTTTCCTTTTTGTCTTATGGTTTATGTTTCAATTATATAATGGATGCAACCTAAATGTTTCTTATTTTTTATTTGATTTGACTCAACCTTTTGCCTACTTGGAATTCTCCACCGAAAGGCAAATTGGTTTCTGTTTTCTTTCTATTTTTAGGAAAATTTGGGGTAGTTAAAAGAAAAAAAAATTAAATTAAAAAAAAGGAGGGTTCCAAGTTACATATGAATATGATCATTAACTTCATGGTTATAGGTGGGAACTGGAATAGTGGATGAGCTAATATTTGTGCTGGTTATCCAGTCATGGTATGTCATGGGACGTACTCTTGGGTGCTCTTAATTCTACCAATATGCAGGTTGGCTAATTCCATTGTTTTATATCACTACAGACTTACATTCTTACAACTTTAGTACATTTAAAAAAATGCTATATCGTTAGTCCCAAGTCATTTTGTCGAATTGTTGACCTTAAATACATATGGGCGTAATTGGGTAATTGTCGTATACAAAAGAATTTCCCAGAAAGTCAACCTCCTCAAGTGTATTTCAACTATGAAGGTATGATAGGAGTGGTGAGTAGCAATTATTCAATTCAATATGCGAGACAATGTTTGAACTATAGAGTTAAACTTCCTAATGCAAAAGGCAATCTTTTTGTGTTATAAAACATACGCAGAGTATTTCTTCTTCTTCATATTCTCATTGAGCTTTATTCAATCTTCTTAATAATAGTTGTTATGTGAAAAAAGATTGAATAATGCTAATATAATATAGTATTAATGGCAGCTTGCAAGTTCTTCTATGGAGTCCAATCCCCTCTGTGGTGTGGATAAGGGTTTCAAAGTGATGCCATCTTCATTTCATGATATCATCAACGTTGAGTTTCAAGATACTTGGGATTGGTTTGGTATGCTTTGCATAACTTAGTTGAATTTTCATATTACAATTCTTTGCGATTTTTTTCCACATGAGAGTTTGAACTTGAATTATACATACATGTACAACATGGTAGACCTTGGTACAGTTTCTATTTTGGTGATCATGTACACCTCAACTGCTTGATAGTCTTGAGTACAGAGTAAGTTTGAATAATCTAAAGTAAATAGAAATTATTCCAGTTTGGGTTGAAGTTTGGTGGAATTGTTCAGTTTATATCTTTTAGTGAAATTCATATATGTTATTTGCGTTTAATTTAATAAACGATGCATGCTTATGTGAGTGCACACATCTAGATGGCTTACTTTACTTTCATAGAATGTTTCTGGTTTCTGTTTGTCTTGGGGAAAATTTTACATTTGTGAAGTTTTTGGTGAAATATGATCAGGTATAAAGCTTTGCAGGTTGTTTTGTTTCAACTAGGAGTAGTGCTGGATTTTTGTGTGGCAGAAATGAGTTCAAATTTTTCGTAAATAGGATTATTTGTTTTGAAAATTGGGTTTGAAGGTACTCAACTGTGGTGAAACCGTTGTTCAAAAAGGTTGGTATGGAGCTGATCGCAATTGAATTGCATGAACTGAGTACGAGTTTTTCTACCCATTACATGGCAATGCTACAGTTTGCAATTCTGTCCTTAGATTAATGTAATTGAATTTTGTCGTATTTTTTAGCCTATTCTTAAATCGTTGTTTTATCTTTGTTGGGATTGTGATTGAAAAGAAATTAGACTACATTGTCTCCTTGAATGGGGGTTTTCGAGTTTTGGACCTCTCAGTTCTGTGGGAGAGATAATAATGTTTTTATCATTGTTATATCGTTTTGCACTCAACATATGCGTAAGAGGAAGCAATAACATCTTCTGTATAACAATCTGCTTAACGTTGTCAAGTATATTGCTAGTATATATTTTATCTTTTGTATATTGCATTAACGTTTTGCAACCCAATCTTTTATATCATTCAAACATAATTTTTTTATACAATTTTCAAACCCACAGCAACGCGCGGACATAAATTTCTAGTATATACTAAAGCGCAATGGAAAAAACATTGTTCCTAAGCACAGTGAAATGATGGAAATACCCCCATTTTACTGTTTAATTTTTCCCGTCTTTTTCTTACTTCGCAGTGAAAAAACGAAAACGGGCATGGCGTACGTGTTGATTTTCTCCATTTGTATGAGAGGAGGGGTCAAAATGCAGAACGAATGACATGGAGATTTGTTCAATTTTATCAGGTTTTGTATTAAGGTAAAACTCACTCCCCATTTCACATAATTTTAAATGCTGATTAGTGTATATGTGTAAATAGGATTGTAAGTATGATTGTATACATGTAGTAATAGAATTGTAAACATTGTTGTAATTATGTGGAACTAGAGTTGTAAACCCGCGGCATCACTTGGGTTTTTTTGCTTGTAATTTATGTGACAAAAGAAGAAGAAGAAAAAAAAAAAAAAAAGGTAACATACATTCTTTCTCAGTACATTTTGTATGTCATGATGATGATATTGAGAGATGCCATATCGACAAACCGTCTTTTATAAAGGAAAAAAAAATTAATCTAGAGAATAAATGATAATATAATAATACGAGAGATTAGATCAAACCTTCTTTGGTTTATTGGGTCTTTCATCTACTGCATGTTCTGCTGATCTCCTTTTCTTACTTCAGTAAAAGGCATTTCATTAAGAGGTCGATTAAATGAGAGAAGAGAGGTACCCTCCAAATCTTAGTTTTCCCCAGGTATTATTTTAAAGACTTAGAGGGCATCTTTTGGGAGGGCAAAAGAACATAAAAATGGCAAGAAAAGAAAAAGGATTACCAAGGAGAACTGTTTAGGTCAATTAAAAAGCTGAGGACATTAACACTTATGCTTTTCTATTAGTTTTACGACCATCCTAACCTTTCATGCGTCTTATCAGACAATCCTGACCTTCCATTTTAATTTTAAAACCAGCAGCCAACTTAGCTGGACTCCTCCAGTCCCACATTAAGACCTAACTAGGGTTTTCTTCCACTATAAATAGACAAAATTACATGCAAATGCAGCAACATGCACAAAACCTTGCTTGTTATTAAGAAAACTAGAGAAAAAAGAAAGCAGAAGATGGGAAAGCAATCCTCACTCTTCTCTTTCTGCAACATGTTCAAGGCCTGCTTCTCGAGCGGCAGAAGAGACGATGTGTACTCCGATGATGGCGGTGTTTATGTTAGACGGAGAATATGTCCCAGTGATGAAGACAGAGGTGGATGGACAGCCGAGCCTGGCATCGACCGTAAGGCCACTGCTTTCATTTCCAGATTCTACGAGAGTCGTGTTTCGGATCCCGAATGCGAAGCTCTCGCAGTCTGATCAGTACCAGGTTTCCATTGAGCTAGAAATGTAAAAAGTGGCTTGATCAAGATCAGCTGATTGTATTTATCAAATTTTTGGTCATGCTTCCTTCCTTCCTTCCTCCCCTTCTTCTTCTTCTTGTCTTATGTAATATTTTATTGGAAGTGTGCATGTAAGCTATGTGAGTTAGTTATAACAAATAATACGGATAATAAATTGTCTTGTAAAACATATATAGTAATTTCCTCCTTCACAATTTTTTTCTGCTTTGTTTTTTTTTTCTTGGCCATGCTTATATATTTCCATTAATATAAACTTATATAAAAAATTGACAGTACTAGCAACTTGATGTACATGCACAAACCCAAGAAAGGATGAACTCGGTAGTTAAACCACTTGAACCACAAGTCTCTTGCGATTACGTACATGCATATATTTGTTCGTGCACCTTAATTAATTTTCACTTGCATATTATTTCTCTTTGGTACCGTTTGATAGTGGGATGGGATGGAACGTAGTGGAACGGGACACACTCGTCTCACGTTTGGTGCGTCGATTTTCCTGGAAAGCGATGTCCCGTGGAATGGATTTTAGTCTATTTTTTGTGCCACCCTCCCCCCTGGAACAACTTGTTCCAGCCCATGGAACACAAAATAATAACTTGTTGGACAACAATACCCATCCTCTTTTTCATTAATTTCACTATCTACCCTCTCTCTCCCATAGCCTCCCTCTCTTCTACCCTCCCTCTCTCCTGTAGCCTCCTCCTCCTCCACCACAAACCCAGCAACCTAGGCTAATCCAATCCCAGTAAAGCCATCCGAACCCAACCCCACCTTCTTCCTGCCGCCTCCCTCCTCCCTGCTAGTCCCACGACGAGACCGTCACCCTCCATCGCGAAAATCTCAAGACCACCCACTCTCACGATGTGGCCAACGCCATCACTCGAGGGATGGGACGGCGAGGATTAGGCAGAAAATGTGAGGGATGACGTTGAACTCGTCGGCGGTGGCTCAGGTAATGTCAAACTCGTTGGGATGGATGAGTACAATATTTAATCATTTGTTCCATTCTGGCATGAACTTACACCAAATGTAGCATGAAACCTCCGTTTCGTTCCGTTCCCTTCTGTTCTTGTTCCGTCCTGTTTTATCCCATTCCGTCCTATCCGCATATCAAACAGTACCTGAGGGATGACGTTTAACTCGTCAGCAGTAGATTATAGAACAATATCTGATATTCCAAGCTGTTCGTGAGCAACCTCATTTTTCTTATAGGAGCTTAAGTCTAAGTTTACCCAGATAGAAGGTAAATATCAAATTTTAAATTATTAGAGAGATCAGACAGAAAAAAAAAGAGCGCTGAATTTCATGCTAATTTGGCAAATCTTATCGGTCCGAGAGATTTTTCAGTGTTATCGGTATACGAGGTGATACATCACATGTCATTATATAAATGATAGGATATGTGTGCTAAAAAATTAATAACTTGAAAAATAATTTTTCTCACCATTTCTATTAAAACACACGATGTATCACCTGTGACTCAGCTCCTATCAAAAGCTAACATCAATCTGAATTAAAGTTGCCAACTTTACTTTTCCCCAAAGAGAATTAAAGGAAAAAGAATATTGTTGTCCACTTCGAAGAAAGCAATGATATGTACCACATAGAGTACCTGCAGGGAATATAATGTTAGAAATATTGTAACAGCATCTTGTTTAATTAACATTTTTTTTTTTTTTTTTTGCCTTGATTTGCATGAGTAAAGAGTAATATTGTGAGATTTATCTCAAAAGTAGTCGGTTCTATTAGTAAGAAATTACTTAGTTTTATTATGTAAAATTATGCTCATCGATATTCCCGGTTAATCTGTGTACATCTCACATTACTCAAAATAGTTAATTGCCACTTACTTTATCACTTCCACTTTCCACATCATTAGACTGACTAAATTAATCACACCCATTATGTTATTAACCATGAAATCACGTGATGTCGGCTGCCATTTCCAAATGAAGAAAAAATAACAGTGCCCTGGCTTTTGGAATTAAGATATCGACTCTAATGGCATACGGGAACCTAAGGTCATCTCCAACTGAATGAAGGATAGAAGGTTCTCTTTGGTTCTGTAGCACTCTAAGAAATTAATATTTTAATTAATAGTGCATAACCATATTTCTTACTATCTCCAACCGATGGGCCAGATGACCATAGACTAAACATAGCCATGTGACAAAAAATAATCTCAAACCGAGGGGTCAAAGGGTCATAGAACCAAACATAATTTATTATTTTAATGGAATTACTATGGTTACTTAAATTAAATTACCTCAAGAATTTTACGTTATAGATTGTCAATAATTTTTTGAGATGGAATCTCAATAATTTTACGTTTCGGATTTCGAGTGTCATGTGTCAATGTGTGAGTAACTTTGCAGATTTCTTGTCAATAAGGAATCTCAATAATTTTACTCTCGGATTTCGAGTGCTAAGTGTCGATGTGTGAGTAACTTTGCAAATTTCTTATCGATAAAGAATCTCAATAATTTTTCGGATAGGATTTCGAGTGCCACATGGCGAGATGTAATTGGTTGTGGGAATTTTTTATAGGATTTTTATCTGCTTCCAATGTCCATAAATAGGACGGATATTGGCCTAAAATTCACACACCTTCAGATTCAATCTCTCCAATATCTTTTTCAATTCAAGTTTGCAATGAATTCCAACTTTGGATCATTTTCGAGTTCTAACTGGGGGTCCTCTTCCAATTCTGAATTGGAAGATAAATGGCGCAAATGAGACGAGAAGAAGAGGAGTCAGAAGAAGAGGAGTCAGATGAAGAAGACGAAGCATGGCACAATACATCATATATGGCAGTTATGGCTGGGGTCATGGCTTGTTAAGCAACTAAAGAACAACCACAATGAAGTGGCTTTATTGCTGGTCGCAGTTACAAGCCACGAAATAGAGAAATGGCGCATCAGAATCTAATGAACAACTACTTCAACCCCAACTCGGTGTACAACGAGAAGGATTTTAGACGTCGCTTCTGGATGAGGCGTCATGTCTTCGAGCATGTACTTCATGATGTCCAACATGTCAATCTATACTTTCGACAGAAAATGGACAGAGCAGGCCGCCTTGGTTTCTCATCGCATCATAAGGTTAATATTGTACTCCGAATGCTAGCCTATGACACCCCAGCTAATGCAATGGATGATATATATGGTATGTCTGATTCTACATGCCTTGATACTCTTGCTGAATTCTGTGAAACAATTGTTCAGCTTTACAAAGAGGAGTACATCCGTCAACCAAATCAAGTAGATCTAAATCGGTTCCCTTGCAAAGATGAAGATCGTGGCTTTCTGAGCATGATAGGGACACTAGATTGCATGCCTTGGCAGTGGAAGAAATGTCCCATCGGATGACAAAGAGGCTTTAGTGGAAGATCGAGAAAGCCAACAATTGTGCTATAGGCGGTTGCATCATTTGACATATGGATCAGGCATGCTTTCTTTAGAGTCCTAGGATCCCAAAATGATATTACAATTCTTGGTCTTTCACCCCTCTTTAATAACCTGACGAAGAGTAAATCACCTAAACTTGACTACTATGTCATCGACCATCAATACAACATGGGGCATTACTTGGCAGATGGTATTTACCCAAAGTGGGCAACATTTGTCCAAGCAATTGCAAACCCTGCGAATGACGCCGAAAAGTGGTTTACCTTATACCAAGAGGCATACTGAAAAGATGTTGAGAGAGCTTTTGGTATTCTACAAACACGGTGGAAGATCATTAAGAAACTGGCAAGATGGTGGAGTCGAGAAAATTTGGACTCCATCATGATGTCTTGCAACATATTACACAACATGATTATGGAGATTGAGCGAGATGGGTATATTGATGAAGAGTCTAATGACGACCAAAAGGATCCAAGTAGGTTAAGAAGGGCTCGTGCAAAAATATATGATGGGCCTAATTTGCCTTTCAATCCAAAAACTAGTACCATCTCTTTAAATGAGTACATGAGACGCCATAGGATGATACGTTCCCGTGCAACAAATAAGTACCTACAATAGGATCTTGTTGCACATCTTTGAGCCAAAAGAAGCATGAAGTAGACGTTTTAGTTTTATGTTGTTAAATGTTTTTAAAAATGTTGTCTAAGTTTCATGTTGTTAAATGCTTTCTTTTATGTTGTATAATTTTTATGTTGTTAAATGTTACTTAATGTTATTTAATATTGTTTAATGGCTTAGGAAGTTATAGGGGAAAAAAATAGAATTTATAAATTAAAAAAAATGTTGAAAACAAAACTATAAAAAAAAATTCAAATATAATGGCTAGCTGACGTCAACAGGTAGCCTTTGCATTCAAATGCCTTGTCTGGCCTGGGGCTAGCTGGCTGGCTGGGTTGAGCCAGCCGGTTGGCCATTTTCTCATTTTTTGGCTCGGTGGAGCCCATGAGCCCTTTGACCTAGCCCTCGGTTGGAGACAGTTTTTGTGTTTTTTCGGCCTTCTGTCCCTCTGACCGAATCGGTTGGGGATGGCTTAATGCTTTTGGTTTCAACTCATGGGTAGTTCATGCAAAACCAAGCACCTTTGAAAAAGCGGCCCTATATGTATAAACTAAGACAAAAATATAAAATTGAAAAATTGCTAATTTTACTAACTCTTTTAAGGTGAAACAAGCCACAAATCAATGTCATAAGCTAGGCAAGATGCCATGCTAAAATACTAAAAAGTAAATCCTCTCTCTCTCTCTCTCGCATTTGGGTTCTGTGTCTTTTCTGCAGCTACTTGGAAGGAGAACCATCTAAGATGAGGACCCCTTTACCCTAGTCCTTTTTACCATGTGCATCTTTAAAGCTTAAAACCCTAAGCTATATCCACCTTTCCATTCCACTATGTAATTATTTAGTTCCTTTGGTATTTGTTGGAGTATTGTAACTCACTAAGGGCTGGTGTGAAAAATGTTTTCAAATAACTGAAATTGTTTTTGGAGAAAATATTTTTGAAACTGATCTTTAGTAAAAATGCTAGCTAATCTTGGAAAAACACTTGAAGTGTTTCATGCAAGGAGAATATAATTCTTGCAGGAAACACTTTAAGTGCTTTTGGACCTAAATAATATTTTCTTTAAAAACATTTTCATTTATTCAAAAACCTTTTCCACACCAGCCCTTAGTGAGTTACAATACTCCAGCAAATACCAAAGGAACTAAATAATAAAGGTGGACATAGCTTAAGGGTTTGAAGCCTTAAAGATGCACATGGTAAAAAGGACTAGGGTAAAGAATCCTCCTTCCATATAGTTGCAGAAAAGAAACAGAACCCAAATGTGTGTGAGAGAGAGAATTTACTTTTTAGTATTTTAGCCTGGCATCTTGCCTAGCTTATCCTTTGTAAAAATGCATGCTAATCTTGAAGTGTTTCTTGCAAAAAACACATAATTTTTACAGGAAACACTTCAAATGCTTTTGGATCCAAATAATATTTTCTCTAAAAACACTTTCAGTTATTTAAAAGTACTTCTCAAACGAGCCCTAAAAGAATCACTTGAGTGAATTGTCTTTCGGATATTTAATTTGCACCCTTTTAATATAGTTAGTGACAGTTAATCTCTATCTATTAAAAATTAGGCTTATTATATTAACACCCCACAAATTGTTGAATAAACCCTACATACTTAATACACCCCACATTTACTTTTTCAATTAAAAATTATCTTTATACACCCCACATACCTCTCCATAATACCCTTACACCCCACATTCTCAAAACACACATTATATTTCTACATACACCCCAATTTCTTCAAATTTTATAATACTCATTTTTAATTTTGATGGATTGAATCTAGATACCCTTCTGTTCCCAGGCTAATTATTTCTATGATTGACTTGTTTTTTCTTTCCAGCTTGAGAGAATATTATCATTAACCGATTTGGACGCTAACACGTATCTTAAATTTTTTATCTTTGTGCAGATTGGTAAATCTTATGTCACTTCCAAACTCAAGAATTATCCAAACTCAAGATCTTATGTAACTTTTCTATAACAAAAGAAATAAAAAATAAAAAAGAATTATCGAAAGTTTCAAGTTGTTGGCATTGCAATTCACAGAGCTGGTTCAAAGGCATAAGTTCTGAAGTTTTTCAACATAGTAAATGCCGAGATGTGATAAAATGTGTGGTTGGAGAGAAAATAATTTCTTGCAGTCACAGTGATCAATAACATTGGTATATTCATAGACATTTTGTTAGGGTTTTCTCAATCAATGTGTTTGTAGTTTCATTAGTTAGGATATTGTTCAACAATGGAGGGTGGGAGGGTTTTGATAATTGAAGAAGATAAATAATACGCTAAAAGTGATGTGGGTGTATTAGGAATTTTTTTTTAATTTTTTTTAAACTTAATAAGGTTGAAATTGTCATTGCATAGTAGAATAAATAAGTAATTTAATATTGAATTTTTTGTGGGGTGCATTCAATAATATGTGGGGTGCTAATAAAAAAACCTAAAAATTAACATTCACAATTATAACTTCAGGTAGTACGTGTGCCTATTTTTTAACTTTGCGTTAATTGACACGAGACAAAGATATATAAATCACAAGTTCGCTATATGAAGTTAGGTTTTTTTCAGTAGCACCTCACATATTGTTGAATGCACCCCACAAAAAAAATCAATATTAAATTACTTATGTATTCTACTATGCAATGACAATTTAAACCTTATTAAGTTTTAAAAAAAAAAATTCCAAATACACCCACATCACTTTTAGCGTATTATTTATCTTCTTCAATTATCAAAACCCTCCCACCCTCCATTGTTGAACAATATCCTAACTAATGAAACTACAAACACATTGATTGAGAAAACCCTAACAAAATGTCTATGAATATGCCAATGCTATTGATCATTGTGACTGCAAGAAATTATTTTCTCTCCAACCACACATTTTATCACATCCCGGCATTTACTATGTTGAAAAACTTCAGAACTTATGCCTTTGAACTAGCTCTGTGAATTGCAATGCCAACAACTTGAAACTTTCGATAATTCTTTTTTATATTTCTTTTGTTATAGAAAAGTTACATAAGATCTTAAGTTTGGAAGTGACATAAGATTTGCCAATCTGCACAAAGATAAAAAAAATTTAAGATAAGTGTTAGCGTCCAAATCAGTTAATGATAATATTCTCTCAAACTGGAAACGAAAAACAAGTCAATCATAGAAGTAATTAGCTTGGGAACAGCAGGGTATCTAGATTCAATCCATCAAAATTAAAAATGAGTATTATAAAATTTGAAGAAATTGGGGTGTATATAGAAATATAATGTGTGTTTTGAGAATGTGGGGTGTGAGGGTATTATGGAGAGGTATGTGGGGTGTATAAAGATAATTTTTAATTGAAAAAGTAAATGTGGGGTGTATTAAGTATGTGGAGTTTATTCAACAATTTGTGGGATGTTAATATAATATATAGTAATGAGATATTTTGAATGCGGTCCCTAATTCTTAGCATTCTTTTACTAAAATCTTAATGGTATTCAAAGTTTGATCAAAGTCCATTGACTTTGTACACCTCATTATATTACAATTAATATTTATATTTTTATAGTTTTGACATTAATTGTTTGATATTTTATGAGATTTATAATCCTATAAATTTAAAATCCCTCATTATAATATTATTAGAAACGGTTACAATAAAAAAATTCAAACATTTTGATTGAATAAATGGATAAAAACCAGTGGAGAAGCCAGCAATCGTGGAGGGGATGGGCGAAATTTAAAAGGATAAACGATCTCAAAAAAATTTAGACAACCAAACCCTTTTAGATAGTAAACAATATTAGTGTCGTTCATAACTTATCAATATAGACAAGTTATAATTGTTGTCTATAAAATTTTATGTTATGAAAAAGTTGTATAATTAACTTATTATCAATAAAAGCAAAAACAAGAAGGCACAACAGCAGCCCTGTTGTCTTGTAGTATACACAAAAAGACCCAAAAAAATCAGATATCCATCCAAAGGAATCATGAGCAAGATGTCAATATTTTTGGAAGGGGATAACCTAAAGTAATATTCTATCCCAATCCTTTTTCATTAAGAAAATAGGTGTCTGAAATTTAGTGATTAATTTGCAAATTTTTCATCCACTATTAACGCAGAAATTTCGTGTCCGACTGTCGGACCATGTAATCGAAACGGCTCCTGATACAAACATAACCACTCTTATTGTATATGAAGAGGTTCTTCAGTGTGCCTGGAATACAGAGTGAAACAACATATGTTGTCTCAAAATTGAAATTGAAATTGAAATAGGACTAGGAATATATCTCAAAACCTTGAAAGTTTCAAAATATATTGTGTTATTCAAGTTTGAACTATTTAGAATGACAAACTAGT